GAAAAGAAGTTCAGGTCTAGTAAGTCACATGGGAAAGCCATGGGGATGTTCCAGCTCCAGTTGATCTGACTTTTAACTACATGAAGCCTCATATGAAAAATAGCAGAAAAGCTACCAAGATGAGCCTTTCCCAATATACAGAAGCATGAACATTAATAAATCATTCTTGTTCTAAATCACAAAATTTGAGACTAGTGGGACCTATAAAAATATATACCTATAATTGTAACTATGAGTGAGGAAAGATTATGTCTAAGCATTTGTTTGACAGATGAGAGAGAAAATGCATTTCTGTTTCAATTCCTTTACCTTTAAGTTATATTACTGTTTTATTGTGCCCTTTCTTTTACTGATTGGAGAAAGAGAAATATAAAAGGCCACTTCTATAAGAATTTGACTTGAGGCTACTTTTTTTTTCTGATAGTTTTCTTGAGACGTCTTTACCTATTAATTCATATTGAAATCTAAGTTGGAAGCATTATTCAAAAAAAATTATCACCAACTCAACATTTATTGGTGAAGATGTCAAACAGGGCTCTTGCCCATATGGGAATTTGTGATCCAACTAAGGAGGTGGAAATTAAAGAAAAGAACTCAGAAATAAATGTAATAGTTTATCAAAGACCTTAATCGAACATAACCAAGATAAAGTCTTATTTTTCTCCCACTGCTTGATTTAAACATACTCTGTTGAATCATCCTTATCTAGATAACATCTTAGGCAAAACCACAAATTTCAGGTCTTTTTATGCTATTAATAGAAGAGTAGTTTCATTTCATTTTTTCTTTGTCTTTTTATCATTATTTTTTTGTTTTATTTCTTTTTTATTTACAATTTATCTTAATAATTCTCTCATTTGTATGTATTTCAGTTTTTTTAAAAAGAAATTCATTTCAGACATTAAAATATCTAGTTCACTTTAAATCTCACATCCATCCAACTTTATATGCAGTATATAATATTCTCCTCATTTTTGCTTATCCATGCATCTTTTTCAATGTACTCTCTTGCTCCTGGATTCTCTATGATCTGGGCTATGGAGAGAAAATGTGAAGAGAAGGGTTAATGTCACCAGAGACTACAGTTGTGTAATGGAACCACTGGGGTCCTCTGTTGTGGGACACTTTCCTCCAAAGATTTTTGTTTGCTTCTTCCAGGAAGGCAAAACCAACTTGAGCCTATTGCTCCCTTTCGCTGTAGAAGTGTAGGATTTAACTCTTTGTATTTCTAAGTTTCCAAGACTTGTTTTCCAGGACCTGGAATTCATATGGAAACACAGACTTTCACTTTGGCTTTCTAATCATCACCCTATAAATCTAAGTTTATGCTCTTCTTGTTTGTTTCATTTATTCACCCTTAGAAATACATCTTATTTCCAAAAGCAAAGTAATGCCTTTAAATGTGTTTCATTTATGATCTAGCTGTATTGCAGTAGCTGGTGCCTTCAGAGTACCTAATTTTCATTAATCCTAGAAGTGATCCAATTGTGTTTTTACCCCTCATTTTACTTGGTGGGAGGGTGGGCCCCTACTTCTTTGAAAGAAGAGGATCTCAGCTCAGTGAATCTTAAAGTCTTTATTTTTTTCATCTCTTTCATTTTTTGCCCATAGTGTTTGGTGATGAGGGTTGATAGTTGAAGAATTAGTATGAACACTTTTGGTAAGTCCTGCAACTTAAAATGTGGGGGTGAAGTTCTACTCTCAGCTTCAGTCTATAGCTAAAATTTTAAGGTATGTACCATTCAACATCATTTTATATTGTGTTTTCATGTCACAAAGATTCTATGAGATACCATAATAATTTAATTTATATTTTCAGGCCAGCAAAGTTCTTTCTGGAGAAGTAACATTTGATCTGAGAAAGGAAAGGTGATTTGGAGATATCCAGAGTAAAAGTGAAGAGGTTTATTATACAGAGGAATTTTAATATAGGGGATAGTGGAGGAGTAATATGAATTATACTTTATAAAAAAAATTCTTGGGATACTCAATGGAGAATGAATTAAAGGAATATGTCCAAACAGGAGGCTTTTGAAGTCTTTCAGACTAGAGGTATAACAATGTAGGTGTAATGCAGATGGAGAAAACTGGTTAGAGTCAAGACATAGTTGCTTGTAGAATTAAAGAAACATGGAATAGATATGGGATATAATGGGAAGAACATGTTAGAAATAACACCTCCTTTTCAGAATTCAGCAAATGAATTTATGAAGTGGCCACTTAATGAGAAGATCAAAGGAGGAAGAAAATGGTAGAGGGAAGTTCATGGGAGACCAAGAATTCAATCTGGGACTGTGAATCATACAAACGATGAATTTATAAATATGGAGAAAATGGAATTATAGATGAGATTTGAGCGCATGAACATCCTGAGTATTTATTATTTGTGTTGAAAAAAACTGGCAAAGGCACCTGAAAATTGCCCATTAGAATGAATGAAGGAAAACCAGGAACATGGCATGGTTCTTAGAGTGCAAGGAAGCATCAGAAATGTGTTAATCGGACTTGGCAGCATGAAGGTTAGGGGCAGACTTATGGGGAGCTGGTTGGGGGGGTATACAGGAAGAAGCCAATAGTCTTAGTGCCTAGAGGTCTGTACACTCCCATGTTAAGGCCATGAAAACTTCCATCTGATGCTTTCAGTGAGGAAGAATGTGAATCGGAAGGGAAAAATCAAAACCTTCATAAACTTACAGAATGGATTAACTGACTGGAATAATAAGCCCTAAAGATCAAGGACTGTCCCTACTATATATTTTTTCTTCTGATTTCCCTTTAAATAAATGTGGATTTGTCAAAACACATGTTCTTTTTTTGTTTTTTTCTTTTTCCTGTTTGTGTGTAAGGTATTAGTGGTGGGGCTGGAAAGGTGGCCCCACTTGCTAAACATCTGTTGAATTCCAGTAAAATGTAAATGGGCTTTTTCTAGGTCTGATGTCCACAATGTTTCATTGGTCTAGCTACTTTCCAACCATAGAGAAAACACATGCCTCATTTTTTCCCCTTTATTTGTTCAAAAGGCTTAGTGGAAGTATTGTAGTGGCTATCATTCTTCACGATAATAAAGCACATTGTGTGATTTCAAAAAACAAAAACAAAGATCCGTTGTCCTGCCCTCTAAACTAGGAAACAGCTCCTGAGAACTTTTAGTTAATGGATTGTCATTGCTTTGAAGGCATGGCAAGGTCAGAAAAGTTTTAGCTAGAAAACTAAAATAGAAAAAAAATCAAAATAATTCTATAGAACCTTTTAATGTACAAAACTGAATCAGAAATAGTACTGTGCTCTCCTAAAATACTAGTCCAGAATTGTATTTGAACTTGTGAAAACCTAGAATATATTTCACAGTAATGATTCTTCCATGTTTTCATAAGCTTGGAGACAGTGTCATGTTTATATTTTATCTTCTCCTGTTTGGCAGAATTAGTATGGTTGTTTCATGTCACCAAACATTTCTTTTAGTTGCTTTGATGATCTATTCATGAATCTTTCACGTTCTATTCATGTCATCTGTTCAGGTTTAACGGTGAGTTACACTAAACAACTATGTTAATTATAAGCAAAATGATTACTCAGCTATTTAATTTCATGCAATTATCATTTGATCTCTGCTGGTTGCCCTAGCCTGATGGACCCATTTCTCTCACCTTGTCCCCTCTCTTTCAAGAGGTCCCATATGGATCATGTCTGTCCAATTGTGCATAGACAAAGGCTTTGGAAGTAGTTATACCTTGGTCTTCCACTCTACAAGCTAAGTGATCTTGTCAAGTTACTCAATTTTTCAGAATTTTTTTATCTTTGAAATAGGGGCATTAATAGTTCTAGATACTTCCTATAATTGTAAAATTTTAATAAATTACAAGAAAGCAGTTTGTAAACCACAAAGGAACAAGAATTTTCAGTTATTATTAAAAGAAATATTTCTTGTAGTAAAGAGTGTAGCATATGATAAAGGACATGAGCTCGATGATTAGCATGACAAATACTTGAGTCCTGCTTCCACCAATTACAAGTCATGTGAACCATGGCAAGTTACTTAATGTCTCTGGGGATCCTGTTCTTACCCTGTGAATTAGCCTACTACTATCTGCCCTGTAAGATTATTGAGACATTTAAATGAGATTGTGCATGAAAAGTGTCTAGTCCACTCATTGTATGAACATGTCGTGTGCTGGGTCAAATTAATACTCTTGGCTCCCTTTTGTAAGATCACTGATGTGGTATGAAAAATACTGTAGTATAACTTCTAGCATATTAAATTAACCTACTAGCATATTAAATGACTCCCCTTGATTCTAGGGTACAACTCCATTGCAGACAACTGATCCTCATTATGAATAAAGGAAAAACTTTTGCTCTACTAGTACTGATACCACTATTATTAGTATTAGGTTATTAAGTATGAAATGTCCAATTTCCTTAAGTACTAAGTTAGACAGTTGATATCTCTGACATTTCACTTTGACACTTCTCGTTTTATTTATATTGTGAAGGTACATCCTCATTCTTTTAAACACATGGTTTGGTTTGTGATTATTTTTCAAATTTCTTGTACAGCAATTTTTGTGAAACCATGAATAAGATAAGACAAATAAGACAAAAATTAGTGTTATTTTTGATTATGAGTTCTGTCATGCAATCAATGCAATACAAAGTACTTTTATTGTAAAGGTGGTCTCTTTAAGAGTCCTTGTGCCTTAAATAATGTAAAAGAATCACAAACCTTCTTTAGGAAGTCAATCAGTAAGATATATTTAGAAAGAAGAATTTTGACATGTCACTCAAATAACATGTATGGTTCTTTGCTTCCGTATAAAAGTGATCATCTCAGATAAAATGTATGCATCAGTCTGTCTTTTCACACAATACTTTATATCCTCTACTATAGCTAGAAAAGTAACAGGCAGGCACTTTGGCTAATATCCCTGTTAAGGCATGGAAGTCACCCCCTTGATCCATACCCCAGAAAAGTAAAAAGGGATCTCTTTTTTATTCCACAGAATGACTTGCTGGCTACGATCAAGTCTCTTTCATCAAGGAGCAATATTAAACTTTTGTGTTCAAGGGTTACAGAGAAGAGATTGATTAACTTGGAATGCAATCTAAGACTTTCTCTGAGGAAGATGTGGAACAATCTATTGCTTGAGTGTAAATGGAATCACTCCTCTTAATTTACTAGGGCTGATAAGGAAAACAGTCAGCTGTATCCTGGGTGAGTTCCCAGAGTCAGGGAAAATGGATAATCATGTAAGTAATTAAAGGGCAGACACTCAAGCTAATCTGACCCAGTGCCTGTGAGGAGAAAACATCCCCTGTGTTTAACTGGGGGTGGGCAATAAAGGTTAGGGCCTGGAGAATGAAGCAGGGACAGCCAGGTGAGCAAATGATCAAGGAGTAGAGTCTCCATTGAGCAGCCTTCTGTAAAGGACAATGTCCACGTGCCCTAGGAACCAGACCAGGGAGGCTTGGCTGCAGCTTGTGTCAACCAGCAGGTCAAATAATAAAGGACCAGCATTTAATAGGGACACTATGTAGCAGTGAGCCTTCTCTCAATTTAGCAGGTGGGCTCTCTAGACCATTTTAATTCTATTTGAATAAAAATAAGGAATTACAAAGTATTTGCACCTTAAGACTGTAAAATCGTTCTTATCCATTTCTAAGGCATTCCAACAGTTTAGGACAAAGCCTTAATTGCTTGCAGGTTCTACCTTGCCAATCATAACATTACCTAACGCCAAAGAACTTCATTATTACTCTAAGCAATTAAAGCTAGCTTCTGTATTTATGTACTTATTTTTTTCAAACATGGAGTTTAGAGTGACCTAAAGTGTGTTGTTCAGATAGGCGACTACATGATTAAAATATGAATAAGATCTGATTTTTATTTAACCTCAATACAAAGGATATTTTCTAAAAATACAGAATATCTATACAGATTGATTTGGGTCAACCCCTCAAATGTGGGCAAAGAAATTCTAGGAAAAAGACTAGAAGTAATAATATTATATGCCTGAAGGGAGGTAAAGAGGGAAAAGATACTGAAAACAAGTGCCTCCTTCGGCCATTTCAATAAACAAAGAGAAAAAGGTTGCAGAATAAATTTCTGTGCTTCCTTACCTTAGGCTACTGAGTGATTGAAATGGATTTATAAATCTATATCAGCTTCCATCAGAGGTGAATTTTTTAAAGTTTATTTTTAATTGACACATAATAATTGTATATATTTATGGAGTACATAGTAACGTTTCAATACATACAATGTGTAGTTATCAGAGATCAGGGCAATAAACATATTCATCTCTAAAATATTTATCATTTTTTTTGTTGAGAACATTTAATGATCTCTCATCTATTTGAAAATATATAATATATTATTGTTGACTATTGTCATCCTATAGCATTATAAAACTTTTTAAAAGAAAGTGTCAAATGCTGTTTATGTCATAGGAAAAGGGCTTGCTGACAATTCAGTCATATAGTGGATTGATTACATCTATTTTTATTCACAAAAAAATACACAGGAAATAAAAATGTGATTAATTTTTAAAATGTTGCTACATTAAAAAATATATTCAGAGCATGTAGAGCATGGTTTTTAATATTCTAGTGAATATAAATGTCTGGGAAAGCAATTTTCATTTTGCAAAAATATAATGAAAATATCACAGCCATGTTCATAGCAGCATTATTCACAATGAGCAAGAAGTGGAAGTAACCCAAGTGTCCATTGAAGAATGAATAGGTAAACAAGATGTGGCATAAATATACAATGGATTGTTATTCAGCCTTCAAAAGGAAGGAAATGCTGACAAATTCTACAACATAGATGAACCCTGAGGACATTATGCTTAGTGAAATCAGCCAGTCACAAAAGCCAAATACTCTATGATTTTACTTATATGAGGTATCCAGAATAGTCAAATTCATAGAAAAAGATAGTAGAATGGTGGTTGCTAAGGGCTGGGTACTATATGTTAGACCCTCCAAACCTCATGTTGAAATTTGACCCTCAATGTTGGAGGTGAAGCCTAGTGGGAAATGTTTGGGTCATGGGATGGATCACTCACGAATGGCTTGGTGCCTTCCTCATCATAATGAGTGCATTCTCCCTCTATTAGCTCTTATGGGATCGGGTTGTTAAAAAGAGCATGGTACGTCCTATCTTTTTCTCTTCCTTTCTGTCTTATTTCCTCTTTTGCCATGTGATCTCTGCACATGCTAGCTCCTCTTCAATGTCTGCCACAAGTGGAAGCAACCTGAGATCTTCACTAGAAGCCAAGCAGCTACTGGTGCCATGCTTCTTGTACAGGCTGCAGAACCATGAGCCAAATAGGCCTCTCTATTCTTTATAAATTACCCAGTCTCAGGTATTCCATTATAACAACACAAACAGACTAAGATACTGGGGGAAGAGAGAAATGGAGAGTTTTTGCTAATTGGATATAGAGTTTAAGTTTTGCAAGAAGAAAAAGTTCTGGAGATTGCTTGCACAGCAATGCGAATACATATATGCTACCGAAATGTACACTTAGAAATGGCTAAGAAGGTAAAGTTATGTGTAGTTTTTACAATAAAAAAAATAATTTTAAAAATTTAATAAAAATGAGAGGGTAAAATGATAACACATTGCATGACATAACTATCAAATTTAAGAAGAAAACTTGAAAAAATTGTACCACAACAGAATTTAAAATGAGTAGAACCTAGACTATACAAAGCCAAATCAATAACATTTAAAAAACTTTCTTAGATCTTTAAAACATCTCTTATAAATTCTTTCAGAATTCAGAGGACAAAGAAAAGATGATGAAAGTTATTATCTTAATAATTATTATTACAGAGAAGTCATCTAGAAAATTGATACCCAATATGAAACAAAGAAGTAAACAGAACAAAAACAGAGTAATAGAAAAGAAGTCCCCAAAGGCAATCACAGCAGCAACAAAAATAAATAATGGGACATGATCAAACTAAAAAGCTTCTGCACAGCCAAAGAAATAGTCATGAAAGTAAACAGACAACATACAGAATGGGAGAAAATTTTTGCATCCTATGCATCTGATAAGGGGCTGATAACTAGAATATACTTAGAACTCAAGAAAATCAGCAAGAAAAAATCAAATAACCCTATTAAAAAGTGGGCAAAAGACTTGAACAGAAACTTTTCTAAAGAAGACAGAAGAATGGCCAACAAACATATGAAAAAATGCTCATCATCTCTAATCATCAGGAAAATGCAAATCAAAACCACAATGAGATATCACTTAATTCCAGTGAGAATGGCCTTTATCAAAAACTCTCCAAACAATAAATGCTGGCATGGATGCAGAGAGAGAGGAATACTCCTACACTGCTGGTGGGACTGCAAACTAGTTCAACCTCTGTGGAAAGCAATATGGAGATACAAGTGAATCTACCATTTGACCCAGCAATCCCATTACTGAGCATCTACCCAAAAGATCCAATGACACACTACAAAAAATACACCTGCACTTGAATGTTTATAGCAGCACAATTCATAATTGCAAGGCTGTGGAAACAGCCCAAGTGCCCATCACTCCAAGAATGGATTAATAAAATGTGGTATATGTATACCATGGAGTACTATTCAGCTCTAAGAAACAACGGTGATATAGCACATCTTATATTTTCCTGGTTAGAGCTGGAACCCATACTACTAAGTGAAGTATCCCTAGAATGGAAAAACAAGCACCACATATACTCACCAGCAAACTGGTATTAACTGAGCAGCACCTAAGTGGACACATAGGTACTACAGTAATAGGGTATTGGGCAGGTGGGAGGGGGAAGGGGGCGGGTATATACATACATAATGAGTGAGATGTGCACCATCTGGGGAATGGTTATGCTGGAAACTCAGACTTGTGGGAGGAGGGGGAAAAAGGGCATTTATTGAAAACTTAAAAATTGTACCCCCATAATATGCCAAAATAATAGAAAAAAAGATTAGCTAAACTGAAGGAGTTGAATCTGCAGATTAGACTCATATGATGTTTATAAAAGAAATAATACCTAGACATACAGAGATGAAGTTGTTGAATTTTAAGTGTTAAAAATAAAAAAGGGGTCCTGCAATCATTCAACCAAGATAAAACAGAAACAAATAATAATCCAACAAAAACAAAAGCTTTATTACCTATCAAAGGGGTAAGCCTTTATATTGTCAAAATATAATTATAGAAGAAAACATTTTGAGGGTAAGAGATATGATTTAAAATCTAAATGTCCAGCCTAGCTTAATGTGAACCAACCACCAAGACATATTGTGAATATATATATATATATTTAAATTTGCATTCAAACTTAATTATCCCAGGCTAGCAATGATGAAATATATGAATTTGTGTTAAATATAGTGACACAGAAGAAGAAAAAAATTTCTAGTTTAAAAATAAATTTTAAAAATCTTATTATAAATCAATACTGTACCTCTGCTTTCAAAAAGAAGTAAATCAAGGCTGCTACCTGAATCAAAAATATTCCATATTTATCATTACAAGAGAAAACAAATTTTCTAAAAAACCGGGTGGACATTTTAATTGTCTCTGAGCCCCATAATAATAAATTGGTTCTTATAATTCCAAGTGAGCAGGCACATTCAGAAATTCTCTGTGTTTGACTATCTGACCTGAGATGATATGTATAAATGCTTAAAATATTATCTTTGGCTTAAGAAAATGTTATAAAATGATCTCCTAAATGCTAGATAATGCATTTGTTTATACTACTGTTTCTTGGTACTATTTTACCATTCTTGACATTCTTTTAAGAGTAAAGTTCTCCTGAAGCCAATCAGGAAAGAGTAATAAATATGTTTAGAGAAGCCATGCTTCACGGATGATAAGAAATGAACCAAATGAGGATTATTTACCATGGGAAAGAAAGAGGTTATTGGTGTCTTCAAGATAAAACCAAGAGAAGCAAAATGAAGAAAAACAATGCAGTTAGTCTTTGCCAGGAGACAAGCCTGCAGAGAATGCTATAGAAGTGCACAGGTGGAGAGAGGTAATTCTTCAAATAATAAAATATCAAGAAGAACAACAACAAAACCCAGTAAGCATTGAGAAGACCAGATGGCCATTTAGTCAAGTTCAGCAGTCCAAAGTGTTTCATTTTATTTTATGTTGGTCACCGTTAATTTTGCACGAGTGCTTCATGGTTTCCTAACTTGCAACATTTGAGGCCATTCAAAAAGGTGAGTGAATCTACTTCTGAGTGTAAACAGTTCATCACGGTTGTTCGAGAGGAGGGTGGTGAGGGACGAGGAACAGGAAGGGTCACAGAGAACTGCCTGAAAAGCAAGCAAGTACTCAACTACACGACTAGAGCGTGTTTTCCCCACATCACCTCCCGACAGGAAGCCTCAGCTACTGCCAAAGGCAGATCGCTGTTGGAAATCTGTCAAGAGTTTAATCCCATATGTCATCTCTCAGGCCTATAAATTTAGGCACTTGAGATGAGATTGGCTTTGGGTAAGAAATTGAAAAATCCTGGGTCATAAAACTGCTGTCAGTACAGTCTTCCAAGAACAGAGGATGATGCAATTATAAGTTTGAGGGGAGGGGGCTGGGGGTGAGAGATATGGAAAGTCAAAGTTGCAGCTTCAGTCTGCTCCCCTCAGACTTGAAAAAGAGTATAATTCCAAAAGCAGTGCTCTTTCACTAGGAAGGGCATTTATTGAACAGGCAGAACAGAGAGAAAGAAAAAAAAAAAACTTGCAG